GTATACAATAACGACACGTTTATTATTCATTGTCTATTATCATTCATTGTCTTGAAAGTGTTGAGGATACATGAAACGTTGGCCCAGTGAAAGCTTCTGTAAGGTGTGTTTTAGGTGAAGGTACGTGAGCGCACAGCTAGGTGGCTGAGGTGTGTACTGGTGTGACTAACTGTACTGGTGTGACTGACTGTATTTGTGTGACTGGACTGATATGACTGCCTGTACCGGTGTGACTGACTGTACAGGTGTGACTGTACTGGAAGGTGTCGATGGATCATACGTGAGTGTAGACTGTCAGGTGCGATCAGTAGACTGAACTGTATTGAGGCAGTGACTGCGATTGAGTGTTGCTAGCAAGAGACTGGTTAGTAATGCTCAGACTAGGGATTACTGGGGTGGGGGTTGGAGGGATAGGCAGTTGTGTGCTATTATGGAGGGAAAGGAATATACTCCTGTGGAGGGGGAAGTAGTGGGTGCGCTACCATGGAGGGGAATGTGTGCTCAGTAATCAGATGGAGGAGGCTCTCTGCTGACGACTGTCTACTTTTAGGAGGAAGAGGACGAGGTGTCTGAGTGATGGTTCATCTCCCAAGTGGTTACTGGTGGTTAAGATAAGATAATCAAAGATTTTGTTCGAATTTTTAACACGGAGGGTTAACCACCCAGGATAACTCAGGAAAGTTAGTGCTTCATCGAGGACTGTCCTTCAGTTTTGTCCCCCAGGATGTGACCCACACCAGTCGACGTGTGTGTGTGTGTGCGTGTGTGCGTGTGCGTGCGTGTGTGTGTGGGTGTGTGTGAGGGTGTGTGCGTGGGTGTGTATGAGGGTGTGTGTGTGTGTGTGTGTGTGTGTGTGTGTGTGCGTGTGTGGGTGTGTGTGTGCGTGTGTGGGTGCGTGTGTGCGTGTGTGGGTGTGTGTGTGTGGGTGTGTGTGAGGGTGTGTGTGTGGGTGTGTGTGAGGGTGTGTGTGTGGGTGTTGGTGTGTGTGTGTGTGGGTGTGTGTGTGTGTGGGTGTGCGTCCTTGCGTGTATGCATATATTTGTACGCTCGTGTGCACATGTCCGTGCGTGCGCCCTCGTGTGTGTATGTGTACGCGCGCGCTAGTGTGGGTGTATGATCCACTTAATATTTGTATTTATAACTCATTACAATTGTGACCAGGTGTGGACGTATCAGTGGTTCATTACTTTGTAATTTGCTCATGACTGTAACCATGTATAGGAGTGAAGCTGATTCATTACCTCTGTAACTTGCCATGATTGTGACCAGATCTACCTGGAGTTCATTACCTTTGTAACTAGTTCAGCTATCATAACTTTGGGGTCCAGTCACTGGACCCATTATGTACCTTTGTAATCTTTTGACTACCGCCCACAGGATGGGTATGGGGTGCATAATAAACATATTAAACTAACTATGGGAAGCATTTCAGACAGCCTTATAAATAACTTATAATTGGACAATGAGACATGTATAGTACATGACAATAAGAATGCTTAGTTGATTCTATATGGAAGGTATTAAATAATTCAATTAAAAAATAGAGTAAAGATAGAATTTTCTAGTCATGTCGACTCCACTATTTGCTGATTTAAGGCGAATTTATGACAGTTTCAATGGTTCAACTGCGAGAGAATAGTCATCTAAACTGCCTCCTGAGATTATCTCTTAAACTGAAATCATCAAGCGACGAGATCTTTGGATTTTCCAGATAATATTCAGTTTTCAATAGCAAGTTCTTGAACTGCAGGTAAGCTCTATACAAACTGCAGGCAAGCTCTATACAAACTGCAGGCAAGCTCTATACAAACTACAGGAAAGTTCTATATAAACTGCAGGCAAGCTCTATACAAACTGCAGGCAAGCTCTATACAAACTACAGGAAAGTTCTATATAAACTGCAGGCAAGCTCTATACAAACTGCAGGCAAGCTTTATACAAACTGCAGGAAAGTTCTATATAAACTGCATGCAAGCTCTATACAAACTGTAGGCAAGCTCTATACAAACTGCAGGCAAGCTCTATACAAACTGCATATATATGCATATATATGCTTTATAGTAATCTGTTTACATTAAAGTTTTATCACCGATGTCATCATTGCTTAGTTCATCTTAAGTTAATTTTAAGCCAGCCCGTAATGCTATGCATAGTATAAGTGGCTTTGGCATACTGCTCTTTTCTGTATTTTTTGTACCTCTGTATGTGTGCACAAATTTTTAAATAAATAAATAAATAAATAAATATATATATATATATATATATATATTTTATATATATTTATATATATATTTATATATATTATATATATTATATATATATATTATATATATATATATAAGTAAACAAAATATATATAAAAATACACACACACATACATACATATATACATAAAGCTCATGGAGCAAGGAGAGAGAGGACCTAATAACGTTCAGTGAAGAGGCGGGGGCCGGGAGCTGAGTCTCGACCCCTGCAACCACAATTAGGTAAGTAAGCATGTAAATACGTATATATGAAATTAAGACACATGTGCAACATCTGGGTATCTTTATTGTAGACGTTTCGCCAACCAGTGGCTTTATCAATACAAATTCCAGGACATAACTTGAAGACAGTAGAACTATGTACAGAAGATGAGGTAATCAGTCCCTCAACCTTCGAGTAGGTGCGAAGAGCACCGTAGTCGTGGAGATTCTGAAGCAGAAGCAAGGCACCTGACGCTTATATACTAACGTTAGGTGGAAATGGGACGTGTAGCAGACGAGGGCATAGTCACTGGTAGACGGGATTCCCCAGCGTCAGGCGCCTTGCTTCTGCTTCAGAATCTCCACGACTACGGTGCATTTCGCACCTACTCGAAGGTTGAGGGACTGATTACCTCATCTTCTGTACATAGTTCTACTATCTTCAAGTTATGTCCTGGAATTTGTATTGATAAAGCCACTGGATGGAGAAACGTCTACAATAAAGATACCCAGATGTTGCACATGTGTTTTAATTTCATCTTGTCGGTATTGTATACCATTCTTGTACAAATACGTATATATACATACATACATACCTACATGCACACAAACAAATGCATATATATGCACACGCACAGACAAATCTGCATAACAGTGTCTTCCATTGCAGACACTGCGAAGCTCCAGGCGGACATCAACCAAATCTTTCATTGGGCTGCAGAAAAAATATGAAGTTCAACGATGAGAAATTTCATTTACTCTGATATGGTAAAGGTGAGGAAATTAAAACTTCATCAGAGTATAAAACAAATTCCAGCCACACAATAGAGCAAAAAACTAACGTCAAAGATCTGGGAGTGATCATGTCGGAGGATCTCACCTTCAAGGACCATAACATTGTATCAATCGCATCTGCTAGAAAAATGACAGGATAGATAATGAGAACCTTCAAAACTAGGGATGCCAAGCCCATGATGACACTCTTCAGGTCGCTTGTTCTATCTAGGCTGGAATATTGCTGCACACTAACAGCACCTTTCAAGGCAGGTGAAATTGCTGACCTAGAAAATGTACAGAGAACCTTCACGGCGCGCATAACGGAGATAAAACACCTCAATTACTGGGAGCGCTTGAAGTTCCTGAACCTGTATTCCCTGGAACGTAGGCGGGAGAGATACATGATTGCATACACCTGGAAAATCCAAGAGGGACTAGTACCGAACTTGCACACGAAAATCACTGCTTACGAAAGCAAAAGACTCGGCATACGATGCAACATCCCCCCAAAGAAAAGCAGGGCTGTCCCTAGCACGTTAAGAGACAACACAATAAGTATCAGGGGCCCAAGACTGTTCAACTGCCTCCAAGCATACATAAGGGGGATTACCAATAGACCCCTGGCTGTCTTCAGGCAGGCACTGGACAAGCACCTAAAGTCGGTACCTGACCAGCCGGGCTGTGGTTCGTACATTGGATTGCGTGCAGCCAGCAGTAACAGCCTGATTGATTAGACCCTGATCCACTATGAGGCGTGGTCACAGACCGGGCCGCGGGGGCGTTGACCTCCGGAACTCTCTCCAGGTAAACGTTCGGGGCCAGGAGCTATGAATCGACCCCCGCAGCTCATCCTGTGAGCGGCAGCGAAAAAAACAGAATAACAGAAGTCTCAATGGGCCTTTATCAGACCCCACTGAACATTGTTGCATCATTAAAAAGGAAAAGTTAGTCATTTCGCATCCTGTGGGACAAAACTGAGAGTCAAAACGGAAATAAGTCAGTCCTGGATGACACTGCCTTTCTTGGGTTATCCTGGGTGGCTAACCCTCCTGGGCTAAAAATCTTATGGATAATGGATCTGCGAGTTCCTATCTGTACTGTTGTACTTCAAGAGACCTAAATGTAACATACTTGTGTATGAAACTAGGCACAGATATACACAAATTATTATGAGATCACAATTAAGCTTTTGTGGATTCCCTCTCACAAGCCTCTCCAGGTACACATAGGCCTCCAGGAGCATAACAAAGCTGAAGAATTAGCTAAACAAGCATTAAATAAAGAAAATATTGAGGGTTAGATTAGGTAAAGGCCATCAGGAAACAGGACAAGTGTTTCCTGACGCAGGTCTTGGATGATGACCCGCCTTTGAGCTTTTGGTCATCTGACCGAGGCCTTCCGCTGGCTTACCGGTCCACCCCTTTAAAAATTATGGTCATTTATAACCATTACATTACATTCATTAATACTGACGGGTATTACTACTACTACTTATCCATGGGTTTACCCTAGAACCTAAATCATTCTCACAAGATGACACAACACAGCTACAGGTCCCGACTAGTATTATGCAAGCTTTTAAAACCTCAAATTTTATATGTAAGATGCATAGGCTTGTTTTCTCTAGTTATCTAGAGTATCAAGAACAATAAACTTAATCGTTCTCTCTGGTGATAACAGTTACATACGAGCAATATTAATGTGAAAAAGCAGACAGGACGACGTAAAGGTTACTACGTATCATAATATTTCTTCAGTAGCAAGAAGAGTCACCTTGAGTCAGTATGTTGGAGAGATAAGCTCCAGGAACCTTGAGGATACTCTTATTACAACTAGGAAGTCTAACTGAGATATAGATGCCATAACAGCAACTAAAATCTGTGTGTACAGAACCTGGTCTCTTTTCAGCAGTGTTAATTTAGAAGTGAAAGGTGTGGCCCAGGGTATATATAGTGAATGTTTTAATGGCTGGAGTTACCCAGCTTGTGGTCGGGAAAATATTAAGCTGGATGGAAACTCCTCAAGAAGAATGTTTATTGGAATTCTCGGGGGAATTGCAAAAATAATGTTTCAGGTAGGTGATGTGTGCTACTTCAGTTTATTAACCTAAACTGGTGTAATTGGGATTCTGAACATTGATATACAAGGTTGGGTAGATACATTTGGCATATTTATTTATACCTGTTCACCTACCATATGTATGAATATATATATATATATATATATATATATTATATATATATATATATATATATATATATATATATATATATATATATATATATATATATATATAATTTATTTATTTAAATTTTCAAATCACAAGAACTGAAAATTCACAAATATCAACCTCCCTGTAGGCGGGATTTCGAACCCACGATATACGCCCAGTTATGTTATGTCGTATATTGTGCACACACAGCTTATACTGAGCTGTAGCCCCCCAAAAATATATATTACAGAGATCACAATGGGTCTTTAGCAGACTGCTAAGCACTGTTGCAGCATTAGAAAGAAATATTAGTCGTTTCATATTTGACAATTACTACATACAGTTAGTGTACACAATACAGTATGGAATACAATCTCAAAAAATTGATCTTTTTACCGCTAAAAAACACATTGGTCATAATTGGGTTGCAGTTTCCTCTACCAGGCCACGGGGTGGCAAAAGCTCTCGCTTCAGACGGCGAGGGTCCGGGTTTGATTCCCGGCGAGGGTAGAAACATTGGACGTGTTTCCTTACACCCGTTGTCTATGTTCCCCCATCAATAATAATGGATACCTGGGTGTTAGTCGACTGGTGTGAGTCGCATTCTGGGACAAAACTGACCAAATTTACCCGAAATGCTCAGCATGACAAGCGGCTTTCTATATACTGTAGTAGTATGTCATTGATGTCAGCTAGGACTGTATATCATGTACATGTACTTGTAGTAAATATAATATTATTATTATTATTATTATTATTATTATTATTATTATTATTATTATTATTATTATTATTATTATTATTATTTACAACAAATTGAACATCAGACTGATACTCTTTTCATTAAAACAGTAGAACCTACATTCATGTTTACGGTTCCTTTATCTTACAACACCAAGGAAATTTCAACCTGTTGAACACTTACATCAGCATACAGTAGCTTGGGGATTATATTTATCTGGGAAATTATTTCCTGGTGCGGGGGCAGCCCTATGATAAGAGTACGTGTGTCTTTCAACTTCATTTGAGTCATTCCTGGCACTCAAGCTGCAACCTGAGTGCCAGAGCGACTCAGATTATCTGGAGGTGTGTTGAACACCTGACAAGCGATCATGTTTGTGTAGGTTTGCAAGGATGGGTCCTGGCCTGGGTCTTTTTCATGTGGTGACCTGGCACCTGAATAAACTTACTTATCAAAACAATGTAGCATCACCTGATATAATATTTAATTCTCCTGTACTTACTCTAACTCATCTAATAACCATATGAACTATGTATTATTACTTTACCATTCTTAAGTTAATCTTTAAGTTTGCCCGAAATGCTCAGCATACAGAGGGGCTTTTGGCATGTATATCCAACTATTATATTCCTCTGTACAACCATGTAATTTGTCAAAATAAAAAATCTAATCTAATCTACACTGGCTCCCTAAGGATAGTCGGGTCGTGTACACGTGATGAACCGTTTACGACCCTATGACAGGGGCACGGTGACACGGTGCCATTCCTGGCACTCGGGCCGCAGCTCGAGAGCTTGAAAGACTCCGGAGATTGTGACCTGACAAGAGAGTGAGGAGGCCGGTATATGTAGGCAAGGGGGAAGAAGGTTAGGACCTGTCTCGGTCCCGCCCTTGTTAGATTATTATTATTATAATCAAGGGGAAGCGCTAAACCCGGAGGATTATACAGCACCTGGGGGGGGGGATGTGGAAGGCATTCAGGCTTAATTCGGGGAACTGGAGCACAGATCCAATTCCCTAAATCAAGAGCCCCTCACCAACATCAAGGAACCTTCCTTGAGAGGCCCTTGTTAGAGATGACTTATCTGTGATGTTAGACATGACTTTGATCTGTCATGTTAGGCATGACTTTGATCTGTCATGTTAGACATGACTTTGATCTGTCATGTTAGACATGACTTTGATCTGTCATGTTAGAGATGACCTTGATCTGTCATGTTAAACATGACTTTGATCTGTCATGTTAGAGATCACCCTATTTACTGGTCCCCTACTAAAACTGTCTACACTACTTTTAACCTTCACAGTCGCCGTCTTGTTCAAGCTTCCCTTATACACAACTTTCCTTAGAAGAATCAGTAATGAAATTGTCTCTCTTGATACCTTCCATTCTCATTACATTATCAAATGTTCCAAACTTCAGAACACTCGTGGGCACCAGTCAGGTGTGTTGCAGTGGTCACCTGACAGGTGTAGTAGTAGTCACTTAACAAGTGTTGTAGGAGTGGTCACCAGACAGGTGTTGTAGGAGTAGTGGTCACCTGGCAGGTGTGTTGTAGGAGTAGTGGTCACCTGACAGGTGTGTTGTAGGAGTAATGGTCACCTGACAGGTGTTGTAGGAGTATTGACCACCTGACAGGTGATATAGCAGTAACCGCCTAAGAGGTTTGTTATAGGTGTAGTGGACACCTAACAAGTGTGTTATAAAAATGCTGGGCACCTGAGAGGTGTGCTATAGGAGTGGTGTTCACCTAATAGATGTTATAGGAATGGTGGGCAACTGAGAGGTGTTATAAGAATGGTAGACATCTGATAGGTGTGTTATAGGAGTGGTGATCACCTGACAGGTGTGTTATAGGAGTGGTGATCACCTGACAGGTGTGTTATAGGAGTGGGGAGCACCTGACAGGTGTGTTATAATATTGAGCATCTAGTATTCTGTGAACAGGCTTTCTCAGGTGTTGGTATACCTGGAGGGTGTTCTGGGGGTCAACACCTCCGTGGGCCAGTCTGTGACCAAGGCCTTGCAGTGGATCAGGGCCTGATCAACCAGGCTGTTACTACTGGCCGCATACAAACCGATTTCCGAACACAGCCTGGCTGGTCAGGTACTGACTTTAGGTGCCTGTCCAGCTCTCTCTTGAAGACAGCCAGGGGTCTATTCTTAATCCCCCCTTATGTACACTGGGAGGAGTCAAACAGACTTGGGTTCCCCTGACACTTATTATGTTGTCTCTTAGTGTTAACACTATCCTCGGGGCTAAGAAGGTTTATCACACCCTCCATTTGCCCCTCCTAAAGACACCCCTAATCTCTTAGTCTCCCAGCTCAGGCTGACACATTTCATTACCTCATGTAACCAATGATCAGACAGTTCAGACATTTTATTACAAAAATATTCTGGCCCTGGGACCAGAATATTTTTGTCAGTATTATTTATCAGGTTTTCATATGGCTAGCTTTAGTTCTTATAATATAACTTTTGGAATAAGGCTTAATCTGTGGCACAGGTGCAACATTAGGCAGGTTTCCTTTTAACTGCTGTCCCTGTTCATGTAGCAGTAAGTAGGTATTGGTGTATTAGTCATCTGTTCTGGGTGGCATCCCGGGGAACAAGATTACTTAGATGGTCCAAAGTGCTCTGCATAACCAGGAGCTTTGTATAAAGTACTGTATGTCAGTAATGTCAACTAGGTCTGTATCATTTGTATCATATATTTTGTAAAAATGAAGATTATTATTATTATTATTATTATTCATGGAGTGCAACAGCATGATAAAGTGCCACCTTAAATGCGATTCATTTTCACAAAATGAAAGTATGTTTTTATCATAAATTGTACTACCTCATATTAATAATAGAGTAAAATATTGAATATTTGTAATCTACCAGTCTTTACCTGTCTAGACTCAAGTAATCTTTAAGTACAGTGGTACTTCGAGTGTTGGTCATAATTCATTCCAGAAGGCTGTTCGAGTGCAGTTACCAAATGAATTTGTCCCTATAAAGGATAATGTAAATTAGATTAGTCTGTTTCAGACCCCCAAAAATACACTTACAGAAGCACTTACAAAAATACACTTACATAATTGTTTGAGTTGGGAGCTGTTCGAAACTCGAGGTACCACTGTATTAGGTTAAGTCTGCCTGAAATGCCTCATCATGATAGTGGCTTTCTTTGTAACAGTCAAGTTATGAAATGTAAACACACATTGTAACCTTTACAAAGAAATAAAATTTTGATTTTGATGTACAGTGGACCCCCGGTTAACGATATTTTTTCATTCCAGAAGTATGTTCAGGTGCCAGTACTGACCGAATTTGTTCCCATAAGGAATATTGTGAAGTAGATTAGTCCATTTCAGACCCCCAAACATACACGTACAAACGCACTTACATAAATACACTTACATAATTGGTCGCATTGGGAGGTGATCGTTAAGCGGGGGTCCACTGTATAGGGAAGAACTAAACCCATAGGGGGCCATAAAATACCCGAAGAATAAGAGGTAATCAGGTTTGATCTGAGGAAGGAAAGCATAGCTCCAATATCCTTCAAATCACGAGTCCTTCATCAGCAAGGTGATAAATAAGATGCTGGTGACAGGTGTTGTTTTGCATATTTTGTTGCCGAAGAGAGAGAGAGAATGAAAATGTCATTGTTTTGAAACTACTACAACACAGATTAATTAACTCTGTCATTAAACATTGTACTCGAGGCAGCATACGGGGCCCCGTGGCCTGGTTGGCAAAATTCTCACCTCGCACGCTGAGGGTTTGGGTTCGATTCTCAGTGGGGTGGAGACATTTGACATGTTTCTTTACACCTGTTGTCCTGTTCACCTAGCAAGTAGGAACCTGGGTGTTAGTCGATTGGTGTGGGTCACATCCTGGGGGACAAAATTGAAGACCCCAATGGAAGTAAAACAGACAATCCTTGATGACGCACTAACTTTCTTGGGTTATCCTGGGTGGCTAATCCTCTGAGGTTAAAAATGCAAGCAAAATCTTGTCTTATAATTGGCCCTGTTTTAGTCCTATACATCATTGGCCCGGTGGACTGGTGGCTAAAGTTCCCGCTTCACGCACGGAGGGCCCGGGTTCGATTCCCGGCGGGTG